AGTCATCAAGAGCAATCATGTTTGGTTTTTTTTTTTCTATTGTGGTTGATGGCTGCGATTACTGGTCAAAGGTAACGGATCTAAAGCTGGTTATTGCTTTTACACCGCATACATATTAAAAGTTCTGAGTTTGCCAGACACTATTGGACTGGCGCACTTTTTAAACCTTTGTTTCCATTGATCAGCATTTATATTTGATGGTCTTTAATGATGGCTTTCAGTGATCCTAGGTATGACATGATATATAAATTGTCTCTTTACATTCAAGAGTTGGAGAAATAGTGAGTGATGTACAGGAGGGGAAGCACAACTAATCTGCATAGAGACTTGAAGTTTCTGCAGTCTGAAATTGGAGAGTTCATAGCTGAAATGTGCAGGAGAAACTTGCTGGATGTCAGTGTGATAAGGACTGTGCTCCTGTGTGCAAGTGGCCTTTTTGTATTTCTGTGCTTAGAGATACATTTGCTCACACGAATGAGTTGTGTGCAATGTCCCTAGCCCTAATTTTCCAAACACAGTTTATAACTCAAATAATAGTTTTCTGGTTCCCTGAATCATGACTAATGGTCCCCCATGACTTGTTATTTGGCATGGAAACTAATAAAACCAGTTAGTTAGATGGCTGCCTCCTGAGGCCAGTCAGCAGAGTCCCTCAAATGTCTGGACATCCTTTGGCTATCAGTAGATACTTCTGATTGCCTCACACCCTAGCCTTTCATGCTGTTCTTGGTCTTGTCCCTTTGGTTTCAGTTACAGAAACCTGAAGGGTACTGCCTTTGTCGGCAGATATTCTTGTATGGTTTAAACTACCAGAACTGAGCATGCTGGCATTGCTGAAATCGTTGCCTTAAGCAAGGAAGCCTCTTACTTGGTACTTACAGTCAATGCTTGCTTGACTGTCCAAAACATTGCTTGTCCTGTCCAAACCCACAGCTAAAATTCTCAGTCCAGGTACTCTGAATTCCTGGCATCAGTTACAGAAGCAGCCTGACTTTGGGCTTTGATATATGCCTCGCATGGCTGTTGCACACACCTGTTTTGCTCATTGCTTTAATTGCATTACGCCTTTCCAGCCCACTGCTGGCTCTCAGTCCTTGGCAAACCTCCTGTCCCATACTGTCAAAACACTGCGGATGTGCCACTGCCCTAGCTGTGATCTTTTGGAAATGCAGCGAGGTTGACTCCTATTTCTCGAACCTAAGACTGTGGTTTCTTTCTCTTAATTTTATTTGACAACCCCTAGAACTTCATCCAGGACTGCCACATGCTTGGCGGGTTTTCCCTGGAAGGGCAAAATTGTCCTGCTTGCTTCTTTGAAACACCTCTCTGCTATGATGGTTGCAAGAAACCCCAACCAATACTGCTGCTTACTGTGCTGTCTTGTTTCTGGGAACGTCCTGATCTGTCTAGTTCTCTGCCTCGGCATCACAAACAGGCCCAGCAAGCCTACACACTATGTTTTTGTTCTCATGTGTACGTCATCCAGGATGCTGGTATCTGACTGAGAACTGTCTCCTGTGTGTACAGTAACACAACGAGCAGGAGGAGAAGGGAGTTATGCTTCTTACAGCTTCTGCGGGAGTTCTCAGTGCTGCTTTTCAGTTGATTAAGCTTTTTTCCTTTTGCACCTCCTATCTCTTATTTTATAGATCCCTCTCAGAACAGTCTCTTCCCTCTTCAAGCTGTGAACCTTATGCATGCTGCTGCTTCTCTTCCTCATGCCTCGCATTTCCTTCCTTCCTGACTCTGACCTTCTCAGTACTGATCAGGCAGTTGGTGATGGTCATGGTCTGCCAACTGGCTGGCTGGCCTAGAGGCATTGGTACAGAGATGCTTGAACCGACATTAAACATGCACCTGCTTTTCCTTTTGGTTGTCTGTTGTCTTTTTTCCTGTTTTTCTTAAAATCATAATAAGGCTGGACCCTGCTGCCTAAAGTGTTCCCAGTTCCAAGCAATTTTTTTTAATTGCTTAGAAAGCACTACATTTGGTTTTCAGACCAAGAAACGCAGCAAGGTTGACCTCATAAGCTTAGTCAATAAATACAAGAAAATGTCTCCTCCTAATTAATTAGCTTATTAACCATGATTAAATAACCATATGGTTCATCTTGCTTTGATGCTTTTGCTTTTCTCCCTTACTTCTGTCTTTTGGATCAGGAATTCCTCTCCCATAAGAATCCCTGTTCCTTTCGTGTTCCTTTTGTGTTTTCCTGCCTCTTATGACTCTTGTTTATATTGACAGCAACAGAGAGGACATGTACAGAGCTTTTTACTTATAGAAAGCAGTATGACAACAGTTACTAATTTTTCTGCACAATAAGTTAGTGTGTTTATCTGTCTGTATATTGTTTAACTGGTAGCAAAAGAGATGCTCACCTGATATAGCGGTAGAGATAGGAATAAAGGTCAAGAGCTGTTGGACTTCAGATATATGTTTAGTATGTTAAACAGCAGTAGAAAGGTTTGAAATAAGATGAAGATTCCTGAATCATTTGCTCGATGTTGATATTCATATTGTCGCTGCAGTGGAGGCAGAATGTAACAGTGATTAAGGAGGAGGTGGAAAGATTCATCATAAGTGCTGAGTGACACTGCATAAGGGAAGGAAAGAGAGGAAGCTTTTTTGTTTTGTATTTTTGACACAGGCAAAATTAGTAGTAGAGGCTGGGTAAGAAACCATGCCACCCTTCCTTTTAAGCCTTGAAAAGGTTTCCATCTATGGCTGCTGGGGAGTGATGGGACTAAGAGTTTCACTTTTTCGTCTCTTAACAAATTCCTTGTATTATGCCATTGCCCTTGGCAACTGGTGAAATAAGGGGAAGAGTCACATATTCCTGTGAGAGGGGAAAGCAAATGTCATTGCTAAAAGCCTGTTTTAAAAATAAAATACTTGAGAGACTACCTGTTTTCAGTTTCCTGAAAACTGAGCCTTTGCCATGAAATAAGTATGTGGGGACAGAAGTGGTTTAAATGCCTTAATTCTGCCACTTCTGCCCAGACTAGAAGTGAATGAGGATGACTTTCAAATTTACTTACAACAGTTAAACTTTTTCATTTGGATTTTAGAGCAGGTTTTGTGTTTCTGATCTTGTAATATGAATAACTTTAGGGGCAGTGGCTTTCAACCACTTGATTTGTAAACCCCAGCTGTTTTTCTGTGGTTTCACAGACCTTGTCAGAAATCTCACATACACGTATTGCTACGCAGCATGTTTTAGTTATTATTTCTGAGTTCATGGATGCCTTTAAACTGGTTGGCGTTTCTTGGAAGAGAAGAAGAAGGTGCAAGCCACAGTTTGAAATGCTGTGCATTAGGAGGCTTGTTCTGGAAGTGACAGTTTATTTACAAAAAAAGCAGTGGGATTATTTTGTTTTGGGGGGTTTGTGTTTGCTTGGGTTTTTTAAAATTGGTGAAACTAATCCTTTTGCCCATTCAAAAACATGAGTCATGTCTGTCGTCACACCCCCCCTTCCCGATTAAAATTAGAGAACTCAACTTGAATTTATTTAAAATTTTACATTTGTTTTCCATATGATGCCAAGTTTTCATATTTTTTTTCCTTCTGCAATCACGAAGGCTGTAAAAACGATATAGTGGAGTCATATAATGACTTGATTCTAAGAGCTAAAATTTCAGAATAACAATCATTAGAGCACTACCAACACAGTTTTGAGCAGCCAGGGCTGTGCTGGCTTGAATCAGATTGCAATCAATAAACCAGAGGTGAAAGGCGCTACTGCTCATCCTGTTTGAGAACTCCCTTTTCTTTATTTACCATTCAATGCAGCAGCTAGGATTTCTTCAAAACACATGAAGGTTAAGTGTCAAAACAACAGGCAAGTCTATTCTGCGCTGTATAGCTGAAACTGTGGTTTTGTGAGCAAATTCTTAAGTGCACGTTGCCATTGAAATAGCATTGATTTGGGTTTGGACCTGAATAGTCAGCAAAGGGCTTTTCAACCCTTTACTGCCCATGAGGAGCCTGGCAAACAAATCTGCAAAGCTTAGCTAAACTTAGTTTTGACACAAGTGTTTTTTCCTGTGGTCACTTAGTCAGATGCAGAACTTTAAATGACTAAGTGAGCCAGTAAAATCTCTCTTAGTGTACTGGGATGTAGCTAATTATCTGTAGACACAAATGATTTTTTAAAAAAATGTGATTATCTGTAGTTTAACCTGTCCTATCAGTTGTGATGGATCTGCCATTAATTTCTACCTTTTTCCCCCCTTTTTTTGCCAACGTTAAGTGGCTAAAAGCCAAGGTAAGAAGTGTTATTTCTCCTTTGACCCACAGTGCCTCATGTGACTGATAGTAGAGGCTGCAGAGCCATTAAAACTGAAACCTAGCACTCTCTTATGCTCTCCTCTGCTTTCCATAGGATATTTAGATTAAACATGCTATACTTTATTTTTTTTTATTTACAGCATTTAGCGTGTGTCAATATATCTGCGATACATTGACATCTGCATTTATACATAGATACATTAATTTCTCTAACACATGTAGTGCTTTGCTCTGAATTCAGTAGATGCCTTGATTCCCTTCACTTACATTTTTTGCAGGAGACTTCCCAGACAACCTGAATGACTCTGCTGGTCAAATAGCAGGGGCAAATTGAGAAATTCTGGGCCCATGCTGACTGTATTGTACTGTCAGTGTTAAAGTTTGATGTAAATTATTAACACCCGAATGGAGATGAACACAAATGTGGCTTCTCTTTAAAGAAAAGAAGATACAAGAGATTTGTGCATGAACCTGCCAATTGCCTACCTTTCTGATGTCTGTTGTAAACTAATAGCAAAAATAACATTAAGCTTGTATTTAGACTCTTTGTATTTACTGGTGTCTGTCTTGTGTTTATCTGAAAACTTGCTGTTTGACAGCTGTCTGGGAATTCTCACTTCATATTCTTACACTTAAAAAAAAAAGAAAAAGAAGCTGTCAATAATAGAGCTGCTCTGTTATAAAAATAAAATCATGTTTTCCCTTATTTCAGCATGGAAATAACCAGCCTGCAAGAACTGGCACCTTGTCAAGAACAAATCCGCCTACACAAAAACCACCAAGTCCTCCTATGTCAGGCCGGGGAACTCTGGGGTAAGAATGAAGATTGCTTGGTCCTGCCTGTGTTATAGAAAGTTTTAATTGTGCTGGTGTTGGTGTTTCTTAAATATGTGGATAGATGGCAATTCTGATTGCCTTTAGCAAAAAAACCCAGCACAATTACTTTTTCTGTGTAAATCCTTTCAGTTGCATTGACTCTTATTTTCATAATGACCTTATGAAAGAATGTTTTTTTTCATGGGGGAAGGATTTATTATAGATATGAAGCTATTGCTGTTTCTGATTTTTGAGGAGAAATCCTTAGTGACACAAAAGAATATCAAAAAGTAACTTCCCCAACTTAACTTCAGTTGGGAAAGGAATTAATTGTTAAAGTTTTCATCTACTCATTTCTCCATATCATAAGAGGTATGAAATGGCTGTTGGTGGCATATTTGTTGCATTATCTAAGCAAAATTCGTGGCATTGTGGACATACTGGCAGCATTGATTCTCGCAGGCTTGTGCATTTATATTTTTATGCTTAAATGAGGAAGGATTTTGCTATTCCCAAGTCCCAATGTAACCCGAATTCCCTGCCACAGCATCTAATTTGCTCCTGTGGACCTGTGGGGAGTGAAATCTGCTTATCTTGGTGTGCCAGGAAGTAGTCATTGCTAAAGACCAGAACATTAATACTTAAGAAACTCAGAGCACGTGCCATATGATTTTGTCTGTCCAACTGTGCAACATCTTCCAAAAGGCAGCCTAAACAAGACCTATCTATTTGTCACTCTCAATCTTTCCTTTATGCTGTGGGGGATCGAGGCACTGTAACGCTGGCTGGCATGGCTTCAGGCGTGTTGTCTGGGAGAGGTGGGGAGTTGGAAAAATGAGGAATAATGAGACAGAACCGGATGGGGAACAGGAGCAATGGTCAAGGAAAATTAGAAGCAGCAACTTCTTTTGTCAAAGACTTAGTGATTTTTAATCCTGATTTGATGCTTTGCTGCTTCATGATGGCAGTGTTTGTTGTGCATTCTGCAGAGAAATTACCCTAGAGGTTTCCTCAGCATGTTTTGTGAAAATTCCCGTTGCTCAAGGGCATGCAATCAGTATTCCTGTTGTCTCTCTCATCCCAGCTGAGAAAGAGTTGTTTATCAGCCCTGGGAAGCTGGATAGTGCTTTCATGTCCTCTTGGACGTTTGGTAGTGAAACAGCAGTGTTGATGTACTGGTGAGCTGCCTCTCTCTAACGCTCCCCCCCACCCCCAAACAAGCCAGAGCTGTTGGGTTCCCTTAGCTGATGCCTGATAAGGATTAATCAGCTAAATGTCGTTTCCAGATGAGCTTGACAAGAGGCAGCAGTTGGCTGAGGGGGAGGAATAATGTGGGTTCGTAACAGAGATTTCTATCTGCCCTTCTTGTTCAGGAAGTACAGCTCTTGTCTTGAGCAGCCGTGTTCTGCCAAAGCATGAAATATCACAGGCGTGACTGTTTCCTTAATATATACAGAAAAAAGTGCTAGAAACCGCAAGGATACTACTCTTCTCCCTTTATCCACAAAATAGAGATAAGTGTGTAAAATCTGAACAAGCTTGGTGTGTAACATGGGCCTTTAAGTGTGTGCTGCCTGTTGTGCAGCTTGTCCCTTCAAGGCAGGACTATCTGAAGGAATGTGGTGGGGAGGGAGTCCTACACAGAAATCAGCGGGGCTGAAAAGGGAAATAGACTGCAGGAAGCCAGGGTCTCTTCACCAGACCAGGGAGAGACTGTAGAAAACCTTGGATGCTCAGGTTGGAAGTACCACAGGAGAACGAGTGAATTACTGGAGCTGGATGGAGGGAGTAGTTGCAGTCATGCCTTGTGGGTCCCAGGGCAGAGCAAGGCCTTGGACTCCCTTTAGCTCTCTCTGGTGGCAAAGGACATCAGCACCGCACTGAAGCATTGGGAGACAGTGAGGTGAGGAGCGCTGGGCAGAGTCAGGAAATTAAAGAGTGTTTTCCTCCTCTGTGTAAGGCTGGCGTACAAGCAAAGGGAAGGATTGAACTTGAGCCATGGAAAGAAATTGGTTTTGACTTCTCTGGTGCTTAGGAGTTTGAGTTCTTCAATGAAGCTGAGGAGAGTAAAGGAGAAACTGAGGCATTGCTGATGTAGTGGGGGTTTACTGTTGACAATATTTTAAAATTGTACAGGCGAAATAAATATTGCTACAGAGCTGAGTAGTAGTTCGTATTGGCAGTGCATTCCTAGGTAGAAAACTTTAAAACATTAGTTTTCAGGGTTATTTCTGTTGGAAGCACATTTAAAATCTTCCCTGCTTATCGTTTATTTGGCGGTATTTAGAACATGATCTCTATAACTGGAATACAAAGTTTCTTTATTTTTCCCACGGCTGATCTCTTTTGGCAGATGTATAGGTGGTGGCAGTCTGTATATTAAAATCATCTGGAGTTCTTTATATAGACAAACTAATTTACAAACACCGCAGTGGATGCAAACAGTTGTGGTATTTCCACTTTTCTCTTTGCGAGGTTTTAATAATAAAATGTTATAGTTAGAATTTAGTACTCTTGCGTTCCATATTGCAAAAAGGAAGTCAATAAGGTTCTTAAAATACCAGGAAGCTGTATAACTTACCAACTCAGTTAAAACCAGTAATTGAACAAATTATTAAATGCCAGTAGTTTAGTATTTTTGTTTTTGCTTAGCTGATGCATTGCCAAATTCCATGTCTTGCAAGGGATCTCTTAGTTACTGGTGAGAACTGAAGAGCTTTGCAATTCAGTACAATAAATGCACTGTTCTTAAGACAGTAATGAGTCTGGTAAATAGATCTCAAAAGATCTGTGTTATATTTCTGACGATGCAGTCTGCTAGGTGACCTTGGAAGTCTCTGGGCTTCACTTTCTTGGGCTACAAAATAGAGACAATGAAGCTTATCTGTGAGACACTTTAAGATCTGCTTAAGTGATATGAGATTGCTCGATTATTGTGTGAAACAATGCTACTAGGAAGAGTACTGGTGATTGCAAATGTAACTTGTTCTGTGAATATTTCGGCCTTCTCCTGTCTTAATGAGTTGAATACCTTTAGCCAAGAATATTTCTGGAAAGTGTTTGGAGGGGAGGGGAAAGGGGGAAAGAGGAAAGTGTTACAGTGGAAGAGTTTGTCACGTGCAGTGTACTGAAAGGTAACCCGAGAATATTACGTGGATGTAACTAGTGTATGGTATGTAGTTCAAAGAATGTATTTTGGTTAGTAAATTTAGTTTAGGCATTTTTAACAAGTTTATGTGCTGTAGGAAAACTTATATTTATCTGTCTGTACAAGAGCACTTTAGAGAGTTTAATGTGACCTGTCCACCCCGCCCGGTGGAATTTGTTTAATATACTGTAATGTGGGTCACTGTGCAGTGATCTCTCATGCACACTTTAAGAAAACAAATGGCTTCACTACTTCATTCATTTATCCTTTTGATCTTTCGATCCTTTATCTTTCTGTCTTCAAATGTCTTTTTTCCTTGACCAGACGAAATACTCCTTACAAAACCCTGGAGCCAGTCAAACCACCAACAGTCCCCAATGATTACATGACCAGTCCTGCTAGACTGGGCAGTCAGCACAGTCCTGGAAGGACAGCTTCCTTGAACCAGAGACCAAGGACACACAGGTAGAGCATTTTCTCACTGTAACTCTTTCCTGCCTGGCATGCTGATGCTTACTAAAGCCACATAAAAGCTTTGAAGCTTTGTGCCTGTTGGATTTTTGTTAAAGGCAAAAGGTGAGTTATTCTACCACTCTGCAGTAACAGAACTTCACTGCATTGTTGACTTCTCTAATACATAGAAGTGTCTTCATGCCCTATAGAAGGCTCATTGTATCTAGCAACTTAATTCCATAACCACAGACCTTGTTTTATATAATCAATTTATTTTTTTCTCTGGTATTTGTTCCCCAAGAATAAGCAAAACTTCAAAAATGCAGTTGCAAGGTAGGGTAGTGATGGGTCCTAATGGGTTTAAAGCTGCATTATTAACCTTAGCCTAATAGACTTAAGGTTTTGGTTTTTTTTTTCAAGATCACTAATTGCAAAGGGAGATTTCTGTTGATTAGCAACACTGTGATAAAGGTAGTCTGAAAGAGCTGATTGCTTTCTTTTGGCTAAAACTGAATGTTTATAATCAGTGCTAGCATGATAGAAGCAGAAAATAAAACCTTATTCACAGAGCAGGTATTGGCATTAGCCAGTTGTTTCCACATGCTTAAGGGCTTTGATGAAAGAGTAGTTAGTGTGTGTTTTGAGTGAGAAGGGTGTTTTGAGTATACCCTTTTTAAATGCATTTTTTTTCCCCTCAAATTGCAAGGCTAGATCTTTCTCTGAGCCTCTTGATTGACTTCAGTTTTTTCAATTTGATTTTTATCATAGGCTCCAAAGTGTGGGGGGAAAAAACAGATGAAAGAATTCAATGTAGTTAGAAGTAAGAGGTTAGCTTATTTTTCACAGAGCTTCTTTCTTTTTCTTTTTTTTTTTTTAAAAAACTCCCAGTAGGCAGTTAAACATGGTAGGTCACTAACGGGGATTGAGAGAGTATTTTGGACACAGTTGATCATGAAATATTGCCAGAATGAAATAACTTCTAAATCTGTCTGCAATGAAGATCTTGTTAATCTGTTCAGCTGGCTACTGTGAATGCTCTCTACTCTTGTCGCACAAGATCTTTTTACATAAAAGAGTGCAGTTAGAAATTCAGCTGCAACCATGGTGACAAGATCAAGGTCTTCAGCAGACAGAACACTAATTTTGAAGGAATTATCTTGGCTTCCATTTCAGATCACTGATTTTCTTTTTTGTAACAGTGTTATTTTCTTAAGATATATTTGAATGATTTGCGCTTGACTCTTGACAGCACTGATTTGTAGCTACCCAGGAATGGTAAATAAACTATAACATCACTGAGTACTCTTTAATTAACATGGATGGGTTAAAGTGGTGTTTTGGCTTTGAAACATCTTGACTACTTAGTTCCCTTTATATTATCCATTTAATCCATGTAAATTCAAGCCTTTGCCTGAGGAGTGCTCTTGGATAAGAATAAGGACAGATACTGCCTGAATCTTGATTCTTTTTCAGCGTGTTATGTCCTCCCAAGGCACGTTGTAGAAATGTTATCCGGTAGTTCACTAGAAGTATGTTCTGTAAAAAAGTATGTGTTGCTGGCGTCTAATTTGTGTATCATAAAATGGTACTTAGACAAATTGTAACCTGGCTGTACGGTTACCTTTCGGACCATCTTAGAAACTGTCCTGGTTCTGGCAGGGACAGAAACAAACTTCTTACACACAAAAAGTGTGTGCATGGGTGGGGGAGAGTGTTAGATATACAGAAAATTATCCACACCATGCTGCACACCACACCCCAGTTGGTTTATCGTTGTTCTCAGTTTAAAAGTTCTCAATCTAAACTTCTGTTATGAGTAGAGGAAATGTTCCTTCAGCTGACAGCATAAATAATGTTAAAAAATTACTTATAGTTTAGGCATGAACTCTTCCAGCCCCAGCTTGTTACTTTCACTTATTACAAGGCCCCTGCGCTATTGGAGTTGTTACTCCATTGCCTAGAACTGGTATGGTTGCTTACCTTTTTATTTTTTAAAACATTTAATTAGGCATTTTATCCATAGTGATGTTTATCAGCTTAGCTAATTCTGTTTATTAGGAGTGTAATGCATCCAGACATGATTAGCTGTATGCAATTGTAGGTAGAGACAGAGGCATTTTATATGGGATTTTTCAACAATCTATAATTGAGTTAGGCTAGCAGAGCTCACACAAGAAGTGTAACTGTTGATAGGCCTTTGTAGGAAAAGCTGTGCTAATACTTGTGTTTTTCTTTTATAGCGGTAGTAGTGGAGGAAGTGGCAGTCGAGAGAATAGTGGAAGCAGCAGTATTGGCATTCCCATTGCCGTGCCTACACCTTCGCCGCCAACCATTGGACCAGGTATCTAGGACTCTTCCCATATTAATTTAAGGCTGTAATGTCAGTTGCTTGTGTTTGCAGATGGATTTTGACTGAATACAATGGGGTAGAAACTGTCCCGAAGCACAGTCCTGGTCAAGAAATCACTTACGAGTACTGAGGGACATCTGAAGATTTAATTCTTTACCAAAAGTACTTGCAGAACAATCACTTATGGAATAGTGCATGGTGAAAACACCTTTGCCACTCCATGTTTTTACAAGATAATCAAGGTGGGGGGGATAGGAGGAGAGAAGTGTATCCTTTTAAAGCTTAGTTATATTTTTAAATGCCTATCTACAATTTGGCATTTCTGGATGCCCTGAGAAGCAGCAGCAACTATGTACATATTTGATGGGAAATTTTGTTTTCTGAAATGGCCTTCTAACTTTACTATCTGCCAATGATGGTATGTACATGGCCTTTTTTTAAATTAAATAAAAGTCTTTACTTCAAATAAAAAGCAGAAGATTACCTAAGAAAACACTGCTAGTAGTAGAATTCAGGGTTATCCATCAGTGTTGTTTATGCTACAATTACGGTCTGAAGTTGCTAAGCTATGATGGAGGTCATTGAGAGAGGCAGGAGAACTAGTGTGTGTAAGATAGCACAACAATAAAAGAGAACCATGCAGGGTCTCTCGGCATCAAAAGCATACTGCCTTGTCTTTAAGAATGATGAATGATGAGAATGTGTAGGATCCTTCTTGGTTATAAGACAGAAGGATTATTATCTTGTTAATAAACCAACTCAGTCACTTGTTTACTATCTGTGTATTTTAGCACATAAAACTAATTTGCACAAGAAAACAACGGAGTTTTGATGTAATGTAATTTTGGTATTGCACCTCTTAAGTGTCTGTTCCTCAGATGAGAAGTCTTCAGTTTCTTATGCACATGTAGGCTTTCCTTTCCCAGGTGTTTCTGATCCTGCAGTGGTACAAATAGGGATGAAATCTTACTATTGTCTGGCATCCCATAAAAATCAATGGGAATAAAGATCTGCAGGTACAGAACTCTGTGTAGGGTCAGGACCTGAGTTTGTATCAGTTGACCAAAGTTGAGTTTCTGTAGTTATTTGGTAAGCCTATCAAGTGCCCATGCTTTCTTATTTGGGTGTTTTATGGGTGTGGTTTTTTTTTTTTTTTTAAATATATGGCCTAATTGGGAATATAAACTATTTTATTAGCACACATTTCTGTTCCTCCTCCTCCTGGAGCCCCGCCAGCACCACCACTGCCACCACCTCTCCCGATGGGCAGTCTGATAGGTGAGACTTGTGTCAATGCTGAAGTGATTGCAGTCATGCTGCATAATCTATAATAATCTCTTCCTAATGGACTCAATAAGGGTGTTTTTTCTTCTGTAGTGGGTCTACATGATTTTAGTATAAAAATCAGTCCTGGGATTTTTTGTTTGTTTTTAAACAAATCTAATCTGCACTAATTTCCCGTGGTTAAAGCCTCTGAAGGTAAATGGACAAGATACAGGGAAAATGCTGCCAGTTGCTTGAAATCTCTGTTCCCAATTAAAGCTAAGATCCAATTAGTCTCATCTAGAAGAACTCAAAATCAGCTTGAATATTGGTATTCTGCTGTATCACTCCTGCAGCTGAAATTAAGCCATAACAGTCACACTCTGGCTTAAAAATGGTAGCTGCTGTGTAGGGGGATGTATGTATTCTATCCTGTGGGCACAAGGTGACTGAGAAGCAGAAGTGTCTGTCACAGTGGCTTGGGTTGATTCTATAATGCTGCAGGCGGGTGGCAAACTGGAAGACTTGAGGATACGAAATAACAGTTCTTGAAAAATTGCTTCAAGCATTACATATAGCTGTTAGGATGGGTTGTAAAAGTAGTACTTGCCAAAACAGGCAGGAAGAAATACCCCCCCCTTTCCTATCACAGGCTGATGACAAAATTCATTGATTGTGTTATGAAACTAGCTTTGGAGGCTTTGACCCACATAACCCTTTGCACTTTCCCTTACTGAAGTGTTAAGCGAAAGTGACTTTGGATAGCATTACAGGACTGCAAACTTCTGATCACACACTGTTTGTGTATATATGTGTGTGTGCATTTTCGTATATATTTATATATATTTATATAAGATATATACATATGTATATAAAAGCACAAAACATTTTCTTGCAAAAACAATTTTTGCATTTAAAAATTGCATTGATCCATGTGACCTCAACGTGTGAGATTCATTAGTTTGCAAGGTGTGATTCTTTTCTCATCTCTCAGAGGTTAATCCAAAAGAGAACTTAAATTGTTTTATTAACCTTGAAGTTTGTGCAGCAAGCATGTGGAAGGTAAAAACGGGTGTCCATCCTGAAGAATGAGTGACATGTCTTTCTGTCAGCTGGCATTGGTGATTCCGATTTCTTAGTGCAAATTCAATCAATATAAAAGCACAACTAACAAATATGACTGACAAATGTGTCTGAAGCTCATGACATTTGTTTTACTGTTTTGTTAGAGTGTCTTTTTGTATTAGATTGGAGACAAGTTCTGGTTCACAATGGAAAACATTTGCTTTGAGCAGAATGTGGGGTTTTTTCTGTGTGCTTTTTAATAAAGGGTATTGCATGTAGAATCATTGAGATATGCTTAGAAGTTGGAAGCTGATTCAATTTTCCAGTCCAGTCTCTCAAAGCAGTAGTTCTCAGCATTTCTCAAATGCCCTTTATATGAGTGTTGTTTTATGTCCTATGTGTTTTTTCTCATTATTGATTATAACAGGGATGTTTGTTTTCTGTAAATCTCCTGTTACTGGTCTTAAATTATTGGAGACTTGTAATCAAGTATTTCCTATGTGCTGGGCTTTTTTCTATTTTCTGCATTCTATCCCAAGTAATGCTCTGCTTAAGTCTTTTCTTTGGTTCCTCTGGCTAATGCTTTTCAGCTGCTCCGGGTTCAGCTCCTGGTTCCCAGTATGGCACAATGACCAGGCAAATCTCGCGACACAACTCTACCACTTCTTCAGCATCTTCTGGTGGATACAGACGGAATCCTTCTGTGACTGCCCCATTTTCTGCTCAACCTCATGTTAATGGCGGGCCTCTTTATTCTCAAAATTCAAGTAAGCTGCTGAGCTCTGAAATCACAAACTGTTTTGAGCAAAATGATTGTAAAAGCATGCATGGCATTTTAATTCATTTATGAAGAGCATCAATCAGATTACTGCTTTCTTTCCCAAAATAGAAGGAAAAACAAACAAGAAAAACCATATTAAAGTTGTACAGTGATTGCACTATATGCAATTATACTGTTTTCCCCTCTGACTTGTTTGCTGTTACTCATGACAAGAAATTATTTTGATTGCCTATCTAATTATAGGCACATTATACTTAGCATTTCAGGTGTGCTTGAAGAACATAAACTAAAACCAGATTTTTTTTGCAGGAGACCAAATACGGTTGTAGTACAGTCCCTCCACTACTGGGCTAGTGGCAAGAGAGTACTGTCAGAGCACAGTGCTTCTGTAACAAACCTCCCATTACCCAGCTCCTCCCTGTCTCTGTCTCTTTCCTAAATCCTTTCCTCATTCCAGGTTTCTCCTTTGTTCTTAGCTTTAAGCTTGACTGTTAAAGAAGAGGTCAATCTCTCTTTTTAGCGGACTCCTCCTCTGTGCTTCCACAGTAGTAGTAGTATAGATGGAGATGAATTAGGGAAAGGGTGGATGCCACGGGCAAGTGGTTTTAGTCAGCAGCATCCTGCCTACCTACTCAATAGGGCAAACAAGGTTTACTGCAGAAAGATCTGCAAAATAAGGATCTACTTGAGTGCTGGTAAAAAGCTGTTTCTATCAGGAAACTTCTTCCTTGCTGTTTCCATACATTTTGACCAGATACACAAGAGGGGTGATAGTCCTCTAATGGTTTATGGTGTTCTTCAGCATGCCAACTCTTTAAGCTTCAGAGTGATATTTCTTTTGAAAAGAAGTGTTGACGTTTGGGCTGCAGATCACTTTGGAACAGTGTTTGCTGTTGTGTACTTACTGTAAGGAAAGAATGCATATAAAATATTTGAGACATCGAGGTGAAGAATTTTCTCAGTGATTTAGAAGTATTAAATTTATCAGAAACCATTTTTATATGCAGACACAGTACCAATCTATTTTTTTTTCTAATCCTGATTTTCCTCCTACTCTCTCTTACCCATACTGGCCCTTCCTTTTCCTCCATGCTCTTGTTCCCCCAAAATTAATTCACTGTAACAACAGAAACTCCTTCCTGTTTGAACAGTTGTGTTCTGTTGAATAAACAGGGCTTTACTTCTGAACTTAAATGCTGTGCACACCACCGTCTGAACATTTACATTTGTCCAAAGCAATTTTTTGCTCAAATGCAGGTGCTGTTCCTTAATCTAGCCTCTCTGGTGTTTTCAAAATACTGATTGCCAACATTTTTAAACAGTATTTTGATGGGTGTGTTGTTCTACTTTAAACTGTTTTCCTCTGTTTCTGTAACTGGTAATTTTTTTTTTATTTTTAATGCTACTGTCTTGACATTAAATCCAGGTCCCATGTTTCCTTAAGGTTTTACTTTTCATGCTAACAAATACTCTGTTTTTTCTTAGATGTTTACTTCAATTTTGTGAGAAATCTGTTCTCCCTCTGTTATTGATCATTTCTCTCATACAGTTTATTTGATTATTGGTTTTGTAATGAACTAAATGCTCCATTTTTATTCATCAAACATTAATCTTAGTTATGGCTTTATTTAAAACTGTTGCTTACTTGGAAGTACAGAACCTCTTTCAAATTTTGTTCCAACTGGATTACCCTTGTTGAATTCCCACCTTCACAGGAGTTTCTGCTTCAGTGCAAGAGAAATCCCACTGAGAAGGGGCTCAGTATAAACAAATGAGTTGATGTTTTGTTGGGGTTGTTTGTTTTTTTTTCCTTCCCACCTGCCCCCCCTTCATGGGGAGACATCCTGCCAGAGCTGAAATGGCATACCCTACTACCCTACTGCTACCATGCCCCTTTTCTACCTGTAGAGTGAAGATTTGAACATCTCAGCTGTTAGCCCAGCATCTCTGAGCACTGGTGCCGTGCATCTCATAGCTCGTTACTCACCAAATAGGTACATACTTCAGAGGAGACCAGCCTGCAAGTGCTTCCTGGGGAGCTCTGTGCCCTAGCGTAGCCAGTTGTAGCTATTGAAGCTTTTGCCAGCCTCTTAGGTTGCTGAGTACCTTCTAACCACAGAAGACTTACTAATTTAAAATAAAGCTCCATTCTGCTCTAAACCCATCTGGTTTTCCTACCAACAAGCAATAAGGTCCCTTTTTCTGTGTAAAGCAAAACCAAAGTAAGCCAACCCACTGTCCCTCACCCCCGCAGAACAAAACTATGAGAGGTGCTCTCTGTATGAATATTAAGTCTTGATGTTGCAGCATTGTTTCTCTTATAAAGTAGTTGTCTTTGCTCTTTGCCAGTGCTGATTTGCTGCACTTGATGTAGCACTCTACTTTTGTTTTAGAGGAGTCTAGAAGCCTGTGAAACATCACTTCTACTAGTGTACTTTTAAAAGATAACTACTAAATTTGAGTAATCCTTTTTTAGCAGCAAGACAAAAAGCTCGGTTTTGTGTGCTCCCCAAGTGAAGCAGACTAAGTCCCTTCACATATGCACCCTGTGAGCTTCCAAATGCGCAGCCGGCGCTCGGCTTTTTATTTGGCTAAACACTGGGACATGCTTTGCTTTTGATCCTCAATTGGCTAACCGAGAATTCAGCCTTGTTGGAAACACAAATTTGAAGAAGGTTCTTCCATGTGCGTGTTCTTGTTGTTCTTTACATACTTTGTTTTGTGGTCCTCGTTACTGACGGCTGCTTTTGTTTGTTTCCTTTTTTTTTTTTCCTTTGTCTGTTTGACTTTCCCCGATATGGTGTGTGTGTTGCTACCAGTTTCTATTGCTCCACCCCCTCCCCCTATGCCTCAGTTGACTCCACAGATACCTCTCACAGGCTTCGTGGCCAGGGTGCAGGAAAACAGTAAGTTTGGACAAGCTGAGCTGTTAAAGGGTAGAGCCTACTTTCTTCTAGCATGCATGGCTGGCAAGTCAGACTCTATTTTGTTTCCTTTTCCAGAAGCTAATACCATCTTGCATTCTAGTGTCAATATGCTATTGGAGCTGAAGGGCACACTCTTCAATATTGTATAACATGTGCATGATTATTACTGACCCATTTAAGCTCTGAACTGCAAATTTATTATAGAAATGCCGTGTGAAATATGTGGCATATGCTTGGTGTGAAATAGAAATGTATCTTAATTAAAAATATTAATTTCATGTTGAATCATCCTGCCGGAGGCTTTTTCACGAGGGATAATTGATTAGTTGTTATTAGAAAGGCTTATGTAGACTGTCAAAATAGATACTGTGTAACCATTGATTCTAGTACTGTAGTAGTTTTCAGGAAGCTGCTGTACAGTCGATTGAAAATGTGCAGTCGTATGATCTAATGCCATTACAAAGGAACTTGTAGGGTATTTCTCCTCTCAGCAGCCTTTCATTCTCCATTTCTTTGTGTTCTCTAGCCAGATTTCCT